TTTGAATATCAAGTGCCATATCAACTGACTGAAATAAATGGTAGCGCTTGTGTTTTTCTAATATTTCTTGGTGCCGTTTAATCTTTTGTTTTCAAATAAATTTTGATTTAAATGAAACATTTTCAATAAATATCTATAAATAAATAAATAAATAAATGAGTGAAATACTACAATAAATGTTCTTCATGTAGCATTAGACAACAATATATTTGTACATTACAGAAAAAAGAAGTAAAGAAAAGGTGGACGCTTACCCTTTATTCTCAAACTTTCAGGGATGACGTCCTRGAAGAAAAACAAAGGGACCAAAGTTAAAAATACATTGTAAAGTTACAGTGACTTTATACGTTTCTGGATTGCCGTATCAAATAAATTGCAATTTACTGACAAATTAATTTACAAACTTTTTTTTTTCCTCCAAATAGCTTAAAGGAAGTTTTCGCTTAGAAAGATCATTGGACTCTCATATCCAAAGATTTCATTTTGGTCCACTTGGCCTGCTTTATTTTTTCTTATTTTTCAAATCCAACATGATCTAACTTAAATTTTATGTCACTTTGTAAAAACAAGTCTTATTTCTGTTTTGCTCTTATATTTTATTTTATTTTATTTCATTTCATTTTATTCACTTGTTGCTCTTCAGCTTCACATGATCGTTACATTTTAGATGTCATTTTATTCTACTCTCACCGGTTCACCTTCTGCGTTTCTTTTCTTGATTTATTGGGAAAAAAGTGGCAAAGTCACCTTAAAAATCAACGTATAAACACATAAAAGGTAGGGTAAATTACTATGGGCCATGTGAGCCGCTGTGCATTAAAGATCTGTTTAGAGCATGCACAGTGATCACAGCTGTAGACAAAACGCTTGGATCAGGATTATAAATCCAAATAGCTGCTCTCCAGAAAACCATGAGTGTGAACAAAAGAGGCATAAATATTTGATTCCTCTACAGTGTGATCTGCACAGCTCATCATTCTTATTCTTGTAAAGATGATTTAGGCCATCGTTCTGCTGGAGCTCGCTGGGTGGGATTGTTGCAACAAGTCCAGTCGATATGACAACTAGATAAGTCAGCTCCAGGATTTACATTAAAAATCAGCATAATGTATAAAACATACAGCCAAATCATTTCCCACCTATTAGTAGTGCACGCAATACTTCTTGATAACTGTATCTTATCTCTGTCRGTCTTATTATTTTATGTAGGGCTAAGCTGCAGGTAAGTGAAGATGATTTATGAAGAAAAAAACATCTTCAGGAACAGAAAAGAACCACGTATAGCTGTTTAAACAAGTTTTAAATTAATTTGGGGACTTCCTGTAGCTGCCATCCTGTTGTTAAATGTGATTGTTGGAGCTTACAGTACACAGCAGCTGACAAAAACAATATAATAAATATAATATTAGCACTACTACTGCTGCATCTTAATATTTCCCACTGACGGAACATTTATAAAGTCTGAAAAAACACATTGAAGGAGGTCAGTATTTATTTTGCCAAATGGCTGCTTACAACGCATTTGTAATTAAGTTTTATCACATGTTGTGCTCAAGTAATCATTTTTTCTTCCTGTCAAACAAGAAACAGGAATTTAAAAATATATTAAACAATTTTATTACCATAGAAAACCTTACAAATTTCAAACTGAAATGCCAGAAGCAGCAGGTTAATTTCTCGTGATATGTTACTTAAAATTGGTGATTGTTAAACAACTCCTGAATGTTGGRGGGGGGGGGGATCTGGGGGATCCAGATTCAATAAAAAGATAGCAGTGAGTAGCTTAAACAAATAGTTATTCTAGAAAGCAGTCAAGAACAACAGCTGTTAAGAAAAATAAAGCAGTTTGTAATAAAATYTCGGGTTATATAAAGCCAATTAAAAAAAAATACAATCAAAATCAACTAAACGCTAATCTAAAGAACTGAGGAGTCGCTTCTGTGCAGTACTTTAACGATTGAACACAATGAAAATATTGTAATAAACGTAAATGGTGAAAACAATTACTCCCCTGTCATTTCTTTCTCGTATTGTTTTGTAAAACATTGTTAACCAACAACCCGACAGAAAAAAACTGAAACCACCTGTGGAAGTGACATTTAGATTTACATTTGCAACACAAGTAGATATCAAAAGAGGTTTATCTGCATATGGCAGACATCGTTCACACTTCATTTGATTGAGAAGAATGATTTCCTAAAGGCCAGTGGCGGACCTGACTCTTCTGCCCGGAGACTCTGGGGATGTTGGAAGCACCCAGCTGTACGACTCACGCTCCGTCTGCCTCTGTCACAACTAGCTGGCTGACCGCCCACATCTACCTCCATCTGTGTGTACTCTGAACTCCCATCACTCCACCGGGACTCTCTTCCTCTTTCCAATCTGTCGATTTCAGATTTCACAAATGCCACAACCAACTTAAATCATACTTGAAACATCTATAGTAAGTGCAAACTGCAACACACAGTAGCTGTGTGGTAAATTAGCTGAATACATTGTACAGTAATTTTGCCTCTGAGTGTTGAGTACACAAAAGTAAAAGTGCGCATTACCTTTCAGTTTTTCTTTTATCTTTTATAATAAAATGTTTTAGAAATTTAGACTGATACAAGATTTGATAATAAATCTAAATTTATCTCAAATGTGTCACAAGAGGTGATGTCACTCCCTCTCCACTCATTTCCTTTAGAACTTGTGCGATAAGGTGACAATCGGTTGCCAATGAGCAGAGTATGCAACACACTGCAGTGAACAACCACTTTCAACATTATTTTAGCTGGGTTGGACTTTATTTTATATGACACTTGATAGAGTGAATCCCGAGCTGCACATAAAAAGGCAGCCGTATAGGAACTTTTTGGTAGCAGGGTGAAGTTGTCCAGTACATTTTCTCCACACGAAGTCAAATCTTAACATGCATTATGGTAAGATTGTTAATATCATTAGCATCGCAAAATTAGTTTGGTTTATACAATGGTCATGTACACCATTCAATTTTTTGCCAATCGTCAATAAACTCTTCAAGAAAAAGAAGAAAAAGAACTAATCAAATTTCTTGGAGATGAACAATCTGAAAGTGTGATCTGAGAGTACGATTCGAGAATGCCATCAGAGAGAGAGATTCAAGAGTGCCATCCGAGAGTGTGATTCAAGAGTGCCATCCGAGAGTGTGATCCAGGAGTGCCATATGAAAGTGCCAGCCGAGAGTGAGATTTTAGAGTACCATGCGAGAGTGCAATCCAAGAAAGCGATCCGAGAGTGCAATCCGAGAGTGTAATCTGGGAGTGCGATCCAAAAGTGCCACCCGAGAGTGAGATTTTAGAGTACCATTCGAGAGTGAGATCAAAGAATGCAATCTTAGTGTGCAATTTGAGAATATGATTTGGAAGTGTGATCCGAGAGTGAGATTCAAGAGTGCAATCAGAGAGTGCAATCCGAGAGTGAAATCTGGGAGTGCGTTCCAAGTGTGCAATCTGAGAATGTGATCCAAAAGTGCAATTTGAAATTGCCATCTGAGAGTGCAATCCGAGAGTGCAATCTGGGAGTGACATCCAAGAGTGAGATTTTAGAGTACCATCCGAGAGTGCAATCCAAGAAAGCGATCCGAGAGTGCAATCTGAGAGTGCAATCTGGGAATGCGATCTAAATGTGCCAACCGAGAGTGAGATTTTAGAGTGCCATCCGAGAGTGAGATCAAAGAATGCAATCTTGGAGTGCAATTTGAGAATGTGATTTGGAAGTGTGATCCGAGAGTGAGATTCGAGAGTGCAATCTGAGAGTAAAATCTGGGAGTGCGTTCCAAGTGTGCAATCTGAGAATGTGATCCAAAAGTGCAATTTGAAAGTGCCATCTGAGAGTGAGATTCAAGAGTGCCATCAGAGAGTGCAATCCAAGAGTGCAATCTGGGAGTGCCATCCGAGAGTGAGATTTTAGAGTACCATCCGAGAGTGCAATCCAAGAAAGCGATCCGAGAGTGCAATCCAAGAAAGCGATCCGAGAGTGCAATCCAAGAAAGCGATCCGAGAGTGCAATTTGAAAGTTCAATCCGTGAGTGTGATCCAAAAGTGCCATCTGAGAGTGAGATTTTAGAGTATCATCCGAGAGTGAGATCAAAGAATGCAATCTTGGAGTGCAATTCGAGTATGTGATTTGGAAGTGTGATCTGAGAGTGCAATCCGAGAGTGAAATCTGGGAGTGCGTTCCAAGAGCGCGATCAGAAAATGCGATACAAACGTGCCATCTGAAAGTGCCATCCAAGAGTGAGATTCAAGAGAACCGTCCGAGAGTGTGATCAAAGAATGCAATCTGAGAGTGCAATTCAAGAATGTGATTTGAGAATGCAGTTCAGGAGTGCGATTTGCAACGCTGCTGTCACTATTGCATCCCATGTCTTGTGTTGCCCATAAGCCACAAATAATAGAACAATCTGTAAAATGATAAAAAAAAAAAATTGTACTGTCAAACAAAGCAACTACATTCCAATTACACTGTATTATTCAGCATTTTAAAAAAATGCATGAATGCCAACAGCCCCAGTCTTCGTAATGCAGTGGTTCCCAAACAAAACAACTCAGATGATTACAGTTTTTGCTTGCAAGCTGWAGCYATTTTGGTCAAACCTTCAAAATAAGGTCTTGTTCAACATTGCAAGATGTCATCCTCAGACTCTCAGCTGCTACCACATCGTTATTTTTTTGTGTTGTGTTTTATTAGTTTAGTTTGGATTTTTGAAMACCTCAACAATAAAATATTGTGATAATGTGCGTTTCTAGCTCACAGCTGGTTAAAGTGTGTCAGTTTAAAGTTTAGTAGAACTGGAAAGCAGGCAGCTTATTATCATTAGTGACGAGGGTTTATGGCTAAAAGTGACTAGCAGAGAAGACAATGAACCTTTATACTGACAGGAGTCACATCAAAGTTAAGAAGTGCATGTGCACTAACACTGCTGTACATCAAGCCATTTTTCTTTCTTGCCATTTTTTTCCCATTTCCTGCCTTTTTATCTCAATCTAATTTGTTCCATCCTCTCTCTCTCTCTCTCTCTCTCTCTCTCTCTCTCTCTCTCCCTCTCTCTCTCTCTCTCTCTCCCTCTCCCTGCTTCTGATTATCCCGTTAATCTAGATTTGCCATGTGGCCAAGCCAGAGCTGGATTGTGGGGCTTTGCACACAGTTGTCCTTGCCTCCATTTTGTTTGTTCTGACATAATAGCTTGATGTCAAAGCAACAAACACTGAGAATTTGATTTATTCCTGTATGTCATGCAAGCCCACCAGATTTTCACAAAT